AAAAAAAAAGACGAGTGATCAAGATTGAAAGAAAGAATAAGGGTAATTTATATGCATACTCGAAAAACAAGCGGTTAACCAAACTTCGTTGATCAAAGGAAAGAAAAAAGGGTTGATTTATGCGGTCCAAAAAGAGGCGGTTAAGGAAAGACGATAATTGAAAAGAATATGGAAAATGATTTGTATGATTCGAAGGAAGCACAGTTGATGAGATGATCGAAGGAAAGAAAAAAAGGGTGGTTGACGAGAGACCGTAACTTGAAGAGAAAAAGGAAGGGATTCTTGTGGTTTACATCCAAAAGTAGGCGGTTGATGAGAAACGATGATGAAAAGGAAAGAAATAATGATTGGAAGGAAAATAGTGGATAGGGGAAGGAAGAGAAGAAAGAAGGAGGAAGAGTTATTGACCAGTCTAGCAATGATAGCCTTGGTGGATAGGGAAAAGGATGGATGAGTGAGGCACCGCTTTGAGAACATTTAATGTGACACGCAATGCTTCCTTCCACCATCGTGAAAATAGAATGACCGGCATTGTTACATCTCTCTTTGTACGTTAGGGACGGGTAAAGTGAATTTAGTCAGCGAATGGGCGAACCTTCCAGCGTCCCTTCGCCTTTTCTCCCTCGGTCGGGAAATAAAGGCAACAAGGCGGATCTCGTTCGTCCGTTTGGTGAGAATGAAATTTTGCCTAATGGAACTTTTGTTTCGACCACTCTTTCGACGAGCGAAAATAAATTATTGGGCAAACGTGGAACGATGCAGCGCGGGACGATTGAGAGTTGATTCCTTTGAAGTGACGTATTCAAAGGACGATTGTGTCTGAAAGAATTAATTTGATGAGATAAATCGTCCTCGTGAGTCTGTAGGTGTTGATCGTTATCGGTAAAATATTTACAGTAAATGAATGTAACGAATAATCGGATAAAATGAAACAAATAATTTTTTTCAATCTTATCGAGTTTTAAAGTAAATAGGCAAAGGTGTTATATTCAAAGAAATTTGAATAAGTTCATAGCACACCTACTAGCGATCTTAGTTGTCGCAATAGCAGTTTCATCACAATTC